GTAGGTTCACTTCCTTTGTTATCTTAACGACTCATACTTAGGCCATTACCTCACCAGGAAGCTAGCCTAGTTATTCCAGGAAATGAATCCATGCTCGATCCAGGAATTAGAAGGGACTTTGCACACACCCTACCCCCACCCTAAACTCATTGCAGGGCAGCATATTTGGAGGTGAGGCAAGATAAAATGGGGGGGAATCATTTGTATCCTACCATACTTCCAGCACCCAATCTCCTTCTCCTCCTCCTTTTCACCACTTCATTTGTAAAATATCGTATCAGTTTTGAGCCACCCTTGGATATTTCTTTGCCCCCCATAGATGTATTTTTTGTTCTCCGTGAAGGTCAGTCTTAATGCATTCAGCCTTTCAAGCATGGCCTTGTTTACCAACAGCCCTTTCAGAAAGTGCAAAGGATGCATTTTAAGTGTCTTATACCCAGTAGCTCTTGACATATGCTTTGCTCTCTGCTCTCTCTTTCTTTAGTCAGCATAAAGAGTTCTCAGAAACAATGGTTTTGCCCTTCTCCTTTATCCATCACTAAACCTTGACTCTTTCTTCTAGCAGGATTTTGTATGCCATGACCCTCAATGAGCCTCTTTGTGTGCATCCTTTCCTTTTGGTCTTCTAAACCTCTCTCACATCCCTCTGCAAATGGATTGTCCATCGTCTCAATCTACTGGCAGCCCTTTAAGGATGCTATTCTCTCGTGTACCTAGGACCTCAGCCTTTTTGCCCTTCCTTTTTCCTCCAAAATATAAAGAAGTCCTGGCTGATCATCTTACCACCTCTTTTTTACAGGTCAAGCTTATTTAAAACACATACTGTCAGAGAAGAAATGTGTGTCACATTCTCATAAGGGAACTATGGACACTTCATAGCCAAAGCTGTGAAACTGAATTCTCTATTTCAGTTCATAAAAGAGAACAATCCAGGAGAATACAAAAGGCTGCAAAGTTGAGTAACTTGACAGGCCATTTCTTTTTGGGGGGTTCTCAGAGTTTCATACCTGAGGATAAACTGGTTAGCTTTGAAATGATCTCCTTCAGAATTCTTTTTCTTCCACCTCTTCTGGAAATGTTCCCTTTCTCAAGTCCCAGGGATGCTAATGTGCTCCCTGCTTAAAATGTGTCATGAGTTGCATGCACTTAAGAAGAGGCAAGGATGGCCTCCAGCAGTGTGAAATTCAGAGTCCCATCTTCCATTTAACCACAAAGTGCCAAGTGGGAGGTGATATTCTCAGTAGGAAAGCAGTTCAATGATTATTTAAAAAATAAAAACCCTGCTGGTTTATGACCAGAGTTAAGGCTATCTCATGTAGGCCCAAACTCCACAAAGCCAGGAAATGAGAAGCTAAGGCTGCCACCTTAACAGATGTGCCCGGGAACAGCAATGATGCGCAGTGTCACAACTTATGCTTTTCTGTGATTTTTCAGGCCAAAATCCAGATGAGCAGGATGGTGTCATGACCCCTGACTCTAGCAACAACCTGGACAGTCAGAGGCTGCAGGGGCATCAGGTAGAGAAGCCATTGTGCCTGAAACTCATGAACCCCTGTTCCCCTCACAGAGCTACAATTCCCAGAATGATTTAACAATCAGTTCCTCTTCCCAGGGAACTCTGGGAATTGTAGCTCTTTCAGGGGAAGAAGGGGCCTCCTAACAACTTTCAGCACCCTTAATTCTTTGGGGTACAGCTCCCAGGATTCTTTGGGAGGAGACATGGCTGATTAAAGTGGTACTGTGGTGTAAAGTTCAGTGGAGCCTCAATGTACAATTACCCATTTAGGTAGCAAACACTTCACAAACAATGCAAAAAGAGTGGACTGTGGATGCCACATTAAAAATCTTCTTTCAAGGCATTCCACTTGAAGCAGCTCTTAAAGCTAGTCCAGAATGCAACTGAGATACCTTGGATACAATTGGAGAACATTCCCATGGAACCTTCAATTTATGTGCTCGCGTTTCTGCATCCCTCCAAAGCAGCAATTAAAAAACTGGAAAACCCATTCTTGCAGGTTCCCTTTCAAGTCTGAAAACTATGGGAAGTGCAGCTGGCACCTGCAGTGTCCCCTCGTATACCTATTTTAGACCACCTAAGGTTCCGTTATACAGACAAGTTTAGGCATTATAAACAGTGGGCAAGAGCAGGAGTATTCAGGATACAGGACACTCTCTCAAGAGGATGCTCAATTACCATGGAAAATTTAAAGAAATAGCTTGGGAATATTTCAACTAATTGGTTCCAAATGCAACAAATTTGTATACAATACATTCACTCATTTGTTAAATCCAAGGGCTTTGATCCCCGATGAAGTCTGAAGCATTAGGAATTAGATCTAATACAGAGTTTCAAGATGAAGCTTCTCTACTTTATAAAACATTATTGGACCTACAAATGGACACTGGGCAGAGTTTTAGGGAAGTGCTGAAGCCAACTTAGGCCAACAAATTGATGAACACAAATGGTGCTCCCACTGCTTACCATTTTGGCTAAATTGCAGGAAGCCTCTTTAAAGATCATATGAGGGCACTAGATCAGTGTTTCCCAACCTTGTGCCTCCAGCTGTTTTTGGACTACAATTCCCATCATCCCTTGCCACTGGTCTTGCTAGTCAGGGATGATGGGAGTTGTAGTTCAAAAACAGCTGGAGGCACAAGGTTGGGAAACACTGCACTAGATGTCCCTCTGCCTTTCAAGAGTTAACTACTTTCTCGCTCTTACGCTGGAGAGGATGTATTTTTAAAGGCACATTCCTCCACGTGTGATGGGAGTGTCTGCTTCTTAAAGATTTCTGGACCCAAATTTTTCCATTGCCATCCATCATTACAGGGCAACATCTTGTACCCGATCCCAGGTTAGCCCTACTGTCAATGCAAAATGATATCAATCAAGTGTTCAGCATAAAGAGTTGGTCTTCTTTCTTATGACAGCAGCAAGACAAATAGTTGCTTCCAGTTGGAGGAGGAAAACCCTCCCACCACAGAAACCTGGACCCAATAATATGTGCAGAACATGTAGCACTTATGGAATGCTCAGGTCACCATTGGAGGGCGATAAGAGGATTAACAAAGAAATGGGTTTGACCCCAAGTGGCCTTGATATATATCATTTATTAATAATTGTACAGTAATCCCCCTCATCTCAGTTACAGCAGCCAGTACAGATAAATTATCTTAACATTTTAGATCCACCCTCTGGATGACTGCATACAAGACTTAACAATTGTACATGTAGGTGGCACTTTTTTGCCTGCTAGTTTGATCTGTTGATTTTTATTTTTTTTAATTCCACTCTTAGAAGAAAAAGAGAGCAAGAACCATTCATACACCTGAGATGGTGCAGCTGCGTTGCTGAACCAGAGCCAAAATATTGCAATGCCAAACTGATTTTTTTTCCTGGAATAGTCATATTAAAGTGGATAGAACCAGCATCACCTGAAAAGTTCTGAGTCATAGCTGGGGAACCAACTCAATCACCACAGAATAAATTTGATTTAAGTCCTACTGCTAACAGCATAGCATATATTTCCAGACTTAGATTCTTAGCATCATGCTGGGAACTAATCATTTCCTAATTAATGCATTGCTTCCAAACTGTCACTTTTGATAGCTGAAATTGCTTTTGATCGCAGGGCTATTTTCATCCAATGATTTCTTAGAACTGACCTAGAGAACACTAGGTAAAGAGAAAATAATGTAAAGACATCATTTTCATTGTGCATTCAGGCTTGTGCCCACATGATCTCAGGGCAGTTAGACACAATCCCACTTTTTATACCATAAATATTCTAAAGGTTGTTGTTTTTGTCCTACTTTTAGCATCATAAAAGGTACCCAAGGGTCATCTAGTCCAACCCCTGCAATAAGGGAATCACAGCTAAATCACAGCTTTTGCTGCACAACAGCATGCCTCCAGGTGGCAATAATGTGACTAGGTGCACACTAGACCTTTAAAGCACATTCAAAGCATATTATTTCCTTCAAATAATTCTGGGCAGTGTAGTTTACCCCTCACCGAGCTATAGATCCCAGCAACAACTGTTAACAAACCATAGTGCCCAGAATTCTTTGAAGGAAAGAATGTGCCTCGAAGGCACAGTTGTGTGCAATAACAATGGGAAAGCTTTGCAAAACAGCTGATAAAGTGTGTGGACAATCCAGAATAAATCTGTCATTAATATGCTATTCTTGTATCAAACACTGCTACTAACGCTGATAAAGTGTGTGGACAATCCAGAATAAATTCGTCATTAATATGCTATTCTTGCATCAAATACTGCTACTAACGCAAGAGCCAGTGTGATGCAGTGGTTAGAATGTTGGACTAGGACTTGTGTCAATCCCCACTCAGCCAGGATGCTCACTGGGTGACCTCAGGTCAGCCACCGCCTCTCAGTCCCTAACCCATCTCACAGGGTTGTGGGGATTGAACGAGGACAGGGACCACCTGGAGCTCCTTGGTGGAAAACCTGGCATAGAAAGACAATCAATCAATCAATCAATCAATGCTGCAGAATGCATTGGGAGAGGTGGACGGGAGGAAATCCACCTTTTCTTTCTGCACTCGAGATGCTCACATCCTCCTTTCCCTGTGGCTAAAGGTCCGCTTTCTTCCTCTTCCTCCGGAGCGCTTGGCTGAGCAGGACCCCAGCTGAGGTGGGGGGCGTCCCCGCGCCAGTCCCCTCGGCGCGCTCCGCTGCCCGCCTCTTCTCCGCCACGTCGAGGCGCTGCTGCTACAGGCGGACCGGGCGGCTGAGCAGGCGGGCGGCGGGCTGGGCCCTCGGAGGGAGCCCAGATGCCGCGGCGGCGGCGGCTGCCTGCAGGCGCCAAGCGCACGGCCACGCGGGACTCTCTCGGCAGCCGGCAGCCCGGCGCCGCGCCGCAGCCACTGGGAAGGCGCTGCTGCCGCCGCCGGTCGGAGGTCACGGAGCGCCGCGTCCCGCCTCCGCCTCTTCGCCGCTGCTCTGGCCGGGCTGGCGGCGGCGGCGGCGAAAGCGGAAGTCTGCCTCTCCCGCCGCCTTCGCCGTCGTCGCCGGGCTGCAGCCGTCGGAGCGCATGGAGAGATCGGTCGCCTGAATGGGCTCCGGTAAGAGGCAGGGGACGGGGCGACGGATCCTGCGGGAGGGAGGGCGGGCAGGAGGTTCCCTCCCGGGGCTTCTCCCCGCCAGCCCACGCGGCTGTGCACTTGCACCCTGCATTTCCAAAGGCTTCCTTCCTCCATCCATCCTTAAGACGAAACCCACGCGCATCGTTCTTCCCTGGCGCGCATCCCTCGAAATGCCCACGCACCAGGTCAGCCCTCCTCAAGCCGCTGCTCTCCAGATGTTGTCAGACTCCAACTCCCATCAGCACCAGCCAGTATGGCCAGTACTCAGGGATGATGGGAGTTGTGGTCCAAAACATTGGGTGGGGGCGCAAGGTTGGAGAGGGCTGTGCTAAATTTAAACGGGTGCATGTCTGTTTCATGGGAATTCACCTTTTGCTTGGGGAGGAGAATCTAGATGATTTTATCGGAAATAATATAACCCTTTCCATATTTTTGCACTCAGCTGGGCAACGTGGAAACGCAGGCAAGGTAGAAACAGCGCTCTGGAATGCAGTACTGTATGTCTAATTTTTTAGAGTATGGATTAAACCTCTTATTTTAACCACTCCCCGATTATGCAGCTCAAGTGGGTGAAAGGGAAAGCCTGCATCTCTGCATGGGGTGGGGGAAATGTGTTGCATGTACACCTGTTAGTCACATCTATGAATTGGTCTGTGTTTCCCTCCCTTCTTAATTGGTTTTGTATAGTTGGAGGGAGAGGAAGGGAGGAGGAGGAGGAGGAGAGCACCTGTGCTGATGAGCATGTGGTGTCTAAGAGCCCTGCAGTGAAACACATCATTTTGGCACAATTGTGTCAGCGGCAGTGGGGTTTTCTATTGAAACTTTTAAAGCATCTGTAACACATTGCATGCGTAAGTACAGCTACAAAAGCATATCTCTCTCTCTCTCTCTCTCTCTCTCTCTCTCTCATTTCCTGCTCCATTCCTGGCACAAGGGATGGGGCAACTTGCAGCGAGAAAACAGATGGGCTTCTGTTTCCTACTTTGACATTATTTGATGGGAGGAGGAAAGAAAGACAATAAAATAATATTTACATGCTAATGGTTGCTGGGTGTTTTATAACTGCACAAATGGTAGCAGAAGGAGAGTGGGGGTTTGTTTTGGTTTTGGCAAACTTAGACAATTGCATTTCAAAACCTGGTATACATCTAATTGATTTGTTCTCTGCAGCCCTGGAGGGTGGGACTGGGTCTAATGGGCTTAGGTTACAATATGGTGGACTTCCATTGAACATGCGGGGGGGGGGCGGAATTGATGGGTAGAGCAGTTTGACCATAGAACTGGTTACCTAGAGGCATCCTGGGCTCTCCCACACTGGAGGCACACTGGAACATGGGAAGCAGCCTTATATTGTGTCAGACTGTTGGCCCATCCATCACAGTATTGTCTACACTGACTGGCAGCAGCTCTCCAGGGTTTCAGGCAGGAGTCTCCCAGGTCTGCCTGGAGACACCAGGGATTGAACTTGGGACTCTCTGCATGCAAGGCAGATGCTGCAATAAAATATTAAAAGCACTATATGCAAGGCCCTATACTAAACTCATCTTGAACAAAAGCAGGACAAGTCAATCCTCTGCATCAGCCTTCCTCAACTGAATGCCCTCAAGAAGGTGTGGACTACAAATGCCATCAGCTGTAGCTAGCATGTCCAATGGTCATGGCTGGTGGAAATTGTAGTCCAAAACATCTGGAAGATGCCAGGTTGGGACAGATACACTGCATGCAATGATGCAGTTAGGATAATTTTAGGATCTGGACTTCAGATTGCACTATGTATCAATTTAAAATGTAAAAAACCAAGCCTGTTGCATTTTGGGGGTTTTCCTGCTCATTCTGTTAAGCAGGACCCTGAGCTTCTGCCCCAAAGTATTGTCTTGATGATATCATTCTGTTTATCTATTATCTATTTATCCCTCTGTTGGGGAGCCCCTTTGTCCCCAGGACAAGGGCACTACTCCTCTTCTATTTTGACTGAATGTAGTGAGGGCATAAGTCAGGTGCATTTCCTGTGCAGGGTGAGAACCTGCAATTGGCAGAGGGTTGGTGTTCTCTGAGTGTGAGACAGGGTGCAAGTGTATGTCTGGGTGGGTCTTGTGTTCTTTTAGTAAAACTGTTTATAATGTGTGAGATACCTTCTAGGGTCACTGATTGACTGGAGTACATTTTTGTCAATAGGCTCCTGTTGTTTACATCATATGCTTGGGATGGAGGAAGGTGATGGTGTGACTGTTGCAAGTACTTTTGGGTGAAACTGATTATCTTGACACATTTCAGTTGGAGTTCAGAGCTGGTTACAGGACTGAATCAACTTTGGTCGCCCTGATGGATGGCCTTTGTTGAGAGAAAGGCAAAGTGAGTGTGACCCTATTACTCTTCCTCAGTTGCTTTTGGTGTCTTTAACCATGATACTGTTATGTACTGAAGTTCTCACCCTGGGCCAGCAGGGGGATACTGTAGATAGTTTTCACTCAGGTCCACATATGCAAATAAGGAATTGAAAGTGACGTTCGGTGATTGGATAGTTAAAGAAAGTTGTTACTGTTGCTTTGTAGTTGAGCTCTCTATATATATTTTTTTGCAAAAAATTTATTAGTTTTTACAATATCAACGACAAACAAAAACACAAAACAAACAAAACATAACAAACATAAATCATAACCTTACTGAAAATAACAGTTATTTACTTTGTAAAAACGACTTCCTCGTTTCCCCTTAGTTGAATTTCATTGCATATCCTTATAACGGTTTTCCAAATCCCAATTTTGATACCCTTTAAATTAAGCATTAACATCTTTAAATCTTCTCCTTCTTGTATTAAACATATTATTTTATCAGTTAACATAAGTACAATCCTAAACCCATTAAGTATCTGGAAGCTATTTCCAGTTATTTTAGCTTAACAAATTTAGCTAAATAATCATTAAATTTCTTCCATTCTTCGTGGTGTTCCTCCTCCTTCTGGTCGCGGACTCTTCCGGTTAGATCGGCTAGCTCCATAAAATCCATCATCTTCATCTGCCATTCTTCTACTGTTGGTAATTCTTGAGTTTTCCACTTTTTAGCTAACAAAATACGAGCCGCAGTTGTGGCATACAAAAATAGATTAACATCTTTCTTTGGCAATTCCGAACCTGTTATTCCATGAAGAAAGGCCTCTGATATCTTTATAAATGTATATTTCAACATTTTTTTCAATTCATTATAAATCTTTTCCCAAAAGTCTTTCACCTTGGGGCAAGTCCACCACATATGAAAGAATGTTCCTTCCTTTTCTTTACATTTCCAACATGTATTATAACAATTATGATACATCTTCGCTAATTTTACAGAAGTCAAATACCATCTATACATCATCTTCATAATATTTTCCTTTAACAAAGTACATGCGGTGAACTTAACCCCTTTCTTCCACAATCTTTCCCAGTCCTCAAACATTATATTATGTCCTAAATCTCTTGCCCAGTCTGTCATCACCGATTTAACTTGTTCATCTTTCGTATGCCACTCCAGCAAAAGCTTGTATATTTTAGATACATTTTTACCTTCAGTCTCTAACAACTCCATCTCCAACTTAGATTTTTCCAAGGCAAAACCATTTTTCTTATCCAATTTATACAATTCATTAATCTGGTGGTAATGGAGCCAATTTAGCTTATCTTTAATTTGCTCAAATGTAGTTGAGCTCTATATAAGCAGGTTGGCTGAACCCTTCAGCTCAGTGCTGCTCTGGGCCTGTGAATAAACAAGAGCTGTTTGAAGAATCGCTGTGTCGTCTGATATGTTCACCCACAACTTAACAGATACCTTCCTGAATTGGCCATGTGAGATGAGTACTGAGGCACTGTTTCACCAGGGTCAGTTTCAGAGTTATCACTGGGTGATCACTTCTTGGCCTCCTGGCAGCTGCATTGTGGGGTGGCACAGGGTGTCATCCTGTCCCCATTAGTATTTAACATCTACATGAAACTGTTGGGAATGGTCATTATGAAATTTGGTGTGAGATGTCACCAGTATACAGATAATCTATTTCTCTATAACATCCAAATCAGGAGAGGCTATATAATATGTTAACATTTCATACACCATATAGGAAAATAAAAGCAACACACCAGTTCCCCTAAACAGTAACAAAAAGACATTAGCCATTTTCAGAGAATAAATTCACATCCACTAAACAGCAGATAAAAACAAACCCCAAAAACCATTCACATCAACCCAACAGCATTCCCCCCCCCCCTTAACCTTCCCTTTCCACCCAGAAGCCCATTGTCAGGCCAACTGCTGTAAATCAGTGCTGGGTGGGTCCAGGGTCCTCCAGGATTTGTCTGAAACCTCCCCTCTCCTTTCAGCGGGGAGCAGTGGCAAAGCAAAGCAGCAAAGAGAACCACAGTGCCATCCTAACCATGTCTGCTCAGAAGAAAGACTTAATTTAATCCTGTGGACATGGATCTTCCTTGGTAACTGGGGCTAGAGTTGCACCCTTAGCGTGCTCACTTACACAGCCCACAATTGTCTCTGCCCCTATGAGGCCTTAAGACAGCAAATCCTTTGCCCACTTAGATGGGAGTAAGCCCCACTGAAGTCTCATGTCTTATGCCTGAGTAGACATGAATAGGATTGCCCTGTAAGAGAACAGAAAGCTGTGCACATTGCTCCCTAAAACAGGAGGCATTCCAAAATGTAAGTGAATGACTGGATTTTATTTCCACTCACTGGAGCGAATGTTTAATGGATTCCTAAAATCTGGCTAGTAAACTGAGTGGGTGTGCTTTGACAACGTCATGTACCACTAAATGACATCTGCTGTGCAAACCAAAACAAACTGTTATTAAGACTCTTCTCCCCCCCCCCACACACACACCAAGTTCTTTACCTCCACCGTTCTCTTTTCTTGGGAAGCATTATCCATCTGGGAAGAGGCAGCCATTATTCCAATCAGCAAAAGTAATCTGCTGGTGTTTACGAATTTGTTTGCTCCAAAGAGTGTATGTGTGTATGTGTGCATGTGTCCGTGTGGGAGATCAGTTGCTGTACTCTGAGAACATTCCCTTGAAAATTCCCACAAAGAAATCGATCAGGAGAGGGGAGAGCAAAAGCCTTGCTGCATTCACAGAGCTGTTTATAAGATTGCCCAAACTTTTAGCCAGCTTCGGTAATGTAAGCCTAATTAAATAAAAGAAGAGAGTTTTCCACCCAGCCCCTCTCATTGAGCAGGGTTGTCCCAATTCACTGGCCATATCCCCTCCTGGCAGTTGCCTGCTCTGCCTTAATAAGAAACTACAACTCTGAGTTTATCATTTATGTGTCAGTTAGAATGGTTGCATGCCAGTAAGTCCCTTCCTCACTAACACTAACACTGTAGTCACCTGATGGACATGGCTAGCAGCAACATCAGTGCTGGGTGTGTGACCAGCAGGCAAGATCCTGATCTACTCCCCTTATATGTTCAGTGGACATATAGGTGTATTGTGTGTATAGCCTGGTACTTGAAGACCTTTTAATGTATATGTGGGGTGTCTGTATCTTGGTAGTTTGAAATTTGCTATGCAGGCACACTTGCCCTTAGTACAGTGTGGCAAACGAAGTGTTGTCATCTTTCTCCCCTGCCAGGAGTTGTTCATTATGTCTGATTAGAAAAGCCTGTCTGTCACAGCAGATTACAATGGATCAAGTTAGGTGAACAACACTTGTGCCTTGGGCACCCTAGACCTGGGCAGGGGCACCTGTGGTCCTCCATATGGGCTACAGCTACCAACCATCATCCCTGATCATGGACCTTTGCTGGAGTCCAAACACATCTGGAGGACCAAAGATGGCCACATCACTGCCATAGAGCTTACTGGGTTTACGACTGTTTAGGTTCATTGACAGCAATTTATTGTTAGAGGACATTCGGCACAGAAACATGTGTGTATACCTTTAAGAAGTTTCTGGGATTAATTGGCTGCAGGTGACCGTTGCTATAAAGGAAAAAAGCTGAGTTTTGTTGCCTGCCTGCAGGAATAACATCCACCAGAGTTTGTGTTTATTTGCTTAGTAATAAAGTCTTCGTTTTAGTTTGGGTTTTTACACCTATGTCTCCTGGAGTCACTCTGTCCTCTGCCACCGGCTGGAAATCCCCCTCTAACAGGTTATGGGCCCAGTCCCCAGTCCTGAGTGGGCAGAGACAGGGCGTGAAAAGAACCCAGAGACTGGAAGCAACTCAGCGTTTCTCAAGCAGCTGACTGTGTGAAGGCATCGGCAGGGAGTGTCTGTTTGGGACCAGGAGCCGAACATTTCTTCAAGCCACGTGTGAGTAAGAACTGAGTGGAAAGCTGAAAGCTGGGTGGCGCCATGGCTGGACTTGGAGCTGGAGCTCAAGGGGGAGCTTCCTATTTTCCAGTAGAGAAACTGGGAGAGTCCAATTATATGTCATGGAGTTTACAGATGCAGGCGTTTTTAAAGAAAGAACAATGTTGGACTGTTATTGTTAACCCTCCTGTAAAAGAGGAGGATGAAGAAGTAGATGAAGCAGACCAAAGGCTGGAGGACAAAGCCTATGCTAATTTAATTTTGAGTTTAGAGAAGTCTCAGTTATCTCATGTGCGAGACCTTGAAACAGCAAGTGAGATTTGGCAAGCACTGAGAGCAATACATATTAGAGACACTGCTGGCAGCAAAATTACTCTAATGAGAGTTCTGTACCGAGCCAGACTAAGTGAGGGTGAATGTGTTTCAACACACCTTCAAAGAATGCGTGATTTGTTTTCACAGTTAAATGAACTTGGGGAACATTTTTCTGAACAGAGAAAGGTTTATATTGTGCTGTCTTCACTTCCTGAGTCATGGGACAATTTAGTGATGACTCTGGAAGCAATCCCAGAAAGCCAATTAACAATGCATTTCTTAACTGGGCGTTTGCTTGATGAGGAGGAAAGACGCCATGAGAGGAAGGCCACAACCCCTCACCGTAACTCCAGAAATGGGAGGCAGTCCAGTAAAAGATATGCAACTGATGAGGAGCGGCAACCTAAAGAGGTTGTAGACCACAGAGAGGAAGCAGCGTTCACAGTTAGAAGATGCTATCGTTGTGGGTCAACCAAGCATTTAGTACGACAGTGCACTGTGTCTGTGGGAGAAAATACAAGACAAGGGCGGCCTGCGTTTGCTGGGAAGCGAGGAGACAGGAAGAGTCGAGTCCAGTATGTTTCTGCAGCAGTTCGAGGCACCAGTCACGACGTTGGACAAGACTGGATTTTAGACTCAGCAGCGACAAACATTTTTGTTAAGTCTGCACAAACCCTTGTAGAAAAGCAGCCTTGTAAATCTGTAAATGTAGTACTAGCTGATGGAACAGTGCATGAGTCAGCTGG